ATGATTCAGTACATCGCATAATTCTTGTTTTTATTTTCATTCACGTTACTAAGATAGCCAATCGTATTTGCGTGAAAGAGTACAAACATCCATACATCCTTACAAACTTTCACAGTTATAATATTGGTAGGATAAGTAGGATTGTCATATTTCCAAAGTTAAAAATACTCTGCATTGATTTGATTATGATAAATCCTTAGTTATTATTGTTCTCAGACAAAATATTTTGATATCAAATGATTTCTAGAATATTTCTTTTATCTCAATTCATGGTTTTTCGTGAGTATGAACACATAATAAATTATGAACGGAGAATTTAATTATTATATTTATTCGAGATTTCTACTGAACAGTTGTTCTGAAAACTAACATTAACTATAAAAAAAAATATTAGTACCTACTTATAAAACTATACATAATATTAGTACTCAAAAAATATTTTAATATTTTTAAAAATATTCCAACATATAATCTTTAACTAATTAGAATACAATAACAGTCAATAATAACTTACAAACATATAAGATTGTTAATATTTTAAATTTAAAAAATGCATATTCCAAAATCATAAGTTATCATTATTAATGATGAGTAATGATTTTTTATACAGTGAACTGTTATTATAATATAACAATTTAATTATTTCATAAAATTATATTAATTGAAAATTGTGTTCTTATTTCCCAGTCCATTTTAGTACTAACTGACATCAATAATGGTAAGAATTTAAAAAATTGTTTTAATAATTATTTTTAAAAACTATTTAATATTTTCTAATTTAAATACAGCTCCATCATATAAAAGTAAAAGATTGGTATGGCCAGAAGAATTACCAATTGGCGATAGAATTAAAAATCAATTAAATTATATACCAAAAGGCTACAATTATGAGAAGACACCTGTTAAAACGATTTTAATTTATACCGGAATGGGTTCCCCTTGGGAAAGACCTCAACTTGGTCTCGGCCAATTTTTTGGTTGTCCTGTAAGTCAATGCATGTTAACAGTGAACACTTCATTAGCCCCAAAAGTTGATGCTGTGCTATTTAGACATATTTTCATTCGTCCGTCTTATAAAAGACCACCAAATCAGGTATGAATATTAAAAATATTATATTTTTTTTTTTGCTTGATCAATTATATAAACAATAATAAATTACTCGGTACTCCAACCATAACTTTGTTTATGTGATGATATTCTGCACGCCACACATGTCTTGCCCATTTTAGTATTTTGCTTTCCGGAAATTGGTAAATATTTGGTTAATTTAATAAGCTTTGTGTATCGTCATTATTCCTTCTGTCGAAAATTCTTGAATCTAAATTATACACCGTTCCACATAATTATTTTTAAATTTTCCTTTTATAGCCCTCACCTATTATATAAGTAAATGAGGACGATATTAAGGGAGATACCATGCTACGTTTTAAAAATTAAAATTTATTTTGTTCACAATTACAGTCATTTTAAAATATCGGAATTGACGTTATTTCTGAACGATGTACTGAGCATTATGTTCGGAATAATGGCAAAAACGCACAGTATATAGTATACGCGTAATCAATTTTATTTCAANTGGTGTGTAGTATGTTGTACATGCACATTACGTCACTGATATACCTGGTAATTCTTTGAAGTGAGTAGGTACCATCATTTACTCGGAAAGTAGTGGAGCTTTATTAAAATGCTACACTACTCTCGCCCTACCAAAACTAAAAAAAGGAATATCTCATTTACAGGTTTACAGAAATCAAAAATTTTTTACACCAACATGTATTTAAGCTAATACTCCATCAATTTATGAAATTTATTATATAGATTGCCATTTGAAAATCAATAGTAGGTTGTCGTTTCATTCACAAAAATAATGATAAAAAAAAAATAGAGTATTGAAAAAAAATATATGTATAGGTACAATTGTGGTAGGTTTCAGCTTTTTCGACATATTGCTTAATCAGTTCCTGTAACCAAGTTTTTATAAACATCGTATATTTTTTTTTTGTTAAAAGCTTTTTAATAACATTTCCGAGAACTCGAGAATATATATTCAATATTCATTCTTATGGAGAAATTAATTTTTTAAATTTCAATATTATTACAATGTGATGTTGTTATCACTAATGTCATTTTGAACGATTTAAATATTAATAATGATATAACTATTCACTCAAATCATTATTTTGACTACGTGAAGTAATTGATTATCTTTTTATAATGTTATTAATTTGTCTTCACAGCTTTTAATTTTATATTCTTAGGTATATGCGTTTCACCACCAGAAATATAACTTCACGGTATTTCCAGTTTATGAGTTAAATTTAGTAGAAATTAAGTTCGTGGATTTTTAATTTCAGTATAAAAATTATATATTATTAATTATATCATAAACATTAAGTATTACTAATTATTGATCATACTATATAATTTTTATTATAAACACGGATGCCATTTTATTTTAGATTTGGATTATTGAACATACTGAAGCACCTTATGCAACATCGCATATAAATGATAACGGTGATTTTAATTGGACAGTTAACTATCGTTGGGATAGTGACATACCGCGACCTTATGGGTATTTTAAAAAATATGAACCTGAACAACCCTTGCCAAGTATTGTTAAAAATTATGCAGAAGGTAAAACTAAACAAGTTGCTTGGTTCGTGTCAAATTGTAATCCCAATAATAAACGTAACGAATATGCTGCTGAACTTTCAAAATATATTTCGGTTGATATATATGGTCTTTGTGGTACTCTACAATGTCTCAGATCTAATGAAGAAGAATGTTTCAAGATGTTGAATGAAGATTATAAATTTTACTTAGCTTTTGAAAACGCAAACTGTGCATATTACATTACGGAAAAATTTTTCTTAAATTCACTTAGGTAAGTTTTAATTATACATATGTATTACCAGGGATGGGCAAGTTACAGTACATAGTGTAACTGGATACAAGTTACATGTTACATTTTTCCTAAATAACTGGTTAACAGTTACTATTACTGTAATATAAGTTACATTATAAGTTACAAGTTACACATAAATACACAGTAAAATATATTCAATTTTTTTTTTAAAAAAAAATCATTAAGCTCATAAAATTACTTATATTATAATAAATTATGATTCAATGAACAAATTAATAATTTTAATTAAATAAACTAAATTATAATTATAGAAATTCATTAAAAGTAAATTATCGAATTTTTACAATGAAACTTAATGATAGGTACTATATAATGCATAAACTGTATACTTTCCAATAATCATAATATTTATAATTATATTTATTTGTATATGAGTACAACTAATTGTTTTAATCTAACAAAGCATTCTTAAATATTATCATAGAATAAGTATTTTATAGAATTTAAAATAATGTGTAACATACATGTAGATACATACAAAAGTATAATATTATTGTGGTCATAAAATAATTTTTAATAAATTTAAATTTTGAAACTGGAAAATTAAATATTAATATATAACTCGAAAATATACCGACACTAAGAAAGTATAACCTTAACTGATATACAACTAACTTCGATTAAACTAAAATTGAATGTTTAAAAAATGTATTTTCTATTACTTATGATAATATTAGAGATTTAAAGATAGTAGGTACCTATCTAAATTAACAAAAATTATAAAATACATCATATTTGATAAGCTTTCTCAGTCTTTAATGAAAATATTCAAGTTTAACTCACATGATATCATTTTAATTGAATACAAAAATGACATAATTATTGTAGTATTGATCTTGTTGCTTAGGAATTAAGTCATTTTTTAATTTAACAAACAATTGTTATAATAATTGAAAAACTGGAGAAAAACATAAATAGAATGGAAAGTTTACCGAAATAATATAGTTTCATTATTTTAAATTTTGTTTTAAAAATATTCGTATTGGCTTGAAACTTCGTCGACAAATTTATATTTGTCTTTTCTAGGTCTAGGAAAGCTGTAAAAAGATTTTGACGAATTTTTTTATATTGGTGATTTTGTTTTGTAGATTTTATTTAGTAAGTACTGTATGGATATAATTGTTTAACCATACTGAAATATATGAAAATTCAACAAGAGGTTCAATATAAATTTGACTTCATGTCAAAATAAATGTAGAGTGTAATGTAGTAATTTTTGTGTAGGTATACATATTTTGAGTTAAGATTTCAAAACATGTATAACCGAAATTCGCTCAGAATTGTTTTAGAAGTGGTTTATCATTGCTTACAGATATAAATTAAAATACTTAATGTATATTTCATGCCCAACTTCCAACCACCAGTAGTTCTATAGTATTAGTAGTATAAGCTCTTTAGGCTCTTTTGGATTCATCCATGGAAAGTCACGTAGCCAGGAAGGGGAACCATGTGGTCTACAACGAATCTTACGCTTCTCATGAAAAAATCTGACTATTGGTAATTGGTGGTAAATCTATTACTG